GGAAGCATGTCCAGCTGCACGTGTCCCGGCCAAGGAGGTGACAGGTGGGGTCCCTGAGGTGGCAGGTGGGGTCCCTGAGGTAGCAGGTGGCCCCTGATGTGGCAGGCGGGCCCTGATGTGGCAGGCGGCCCACATGAACCAGCTCCTGGGGACACACTTCCTAGCTTGGCCCTAAATCCCTGGGAATCACCTTATGCAGTGGGCTGGAGCTGTAGGAGCAGGGAGAGGAGTAGGAGCAGCTGAGCCTGGGGAACAGACCGGGAAGGCAGGCCGCCCAGGTCTGAGTCCTGTCCCCACTTGTCTCAGAATCCAGGCCTCCAGAATGGGGACCACGACAGCAGCACCTATTACTTGGAGCAGTCGTGAGAAGGAAAGGAGTGCACGTGTGCAAAGTACCGGGGCAGTGCCTGGCACCCAGCGGGTGCCACGCACAGAGACTGACACCTCTAGGTCAGATTTCCACCTGTCTGTCCCCTCCACTGGCCAACAAGCTTGGCCATGGACACTGACCTCAACTGCTGGCAGGTCCCATCCCGTAGCTCATGTTTACCTTGTCGAACATGAAGACTTTATTGATCTGGCCTCGGAAGACCTTCAGGACAGAAGTGATATGCACACAGGCATCCTGGATGGCCGTGCCTATGACCTCTGCTTTGTCTTGCTCTTTAAACATCAGGTTCACGAACACAATCGTCACCGGGCGAAGCTCAGACAAATAACCCCCAAGTTGTTTGTCGTCGATCTGCAGGATACAAAGCAGCTTTCTGGGCCCTTGCGGTGGACCTTTCCTAGCTACACCACCCCCGCCCCACACCCAGGTTGTCCCTGGGAGGAAAGCAGCCTGGAGAGGTCAGGAAGCTGAAGCTGTCAGGGTATGTGAGGTCGCCCACAGAGCCAGCCTCCCAGAGCTGAGCTGATGGGAGTGGCCTGGAGTGGAATCTTCCCCTTGGGATGTCCAGCCGGCAACCACTCCATCTCCCCAAGGACCAGCTCCCACATACCATTGTGAGGCCTCAGGACAGGGGGAGGAGCTGCTGTTCTCATGGCCTCTCTTTTTCTGACAGTAGGATAAGACTGTCAAGCTAGGGCTTGGGGTTGCAGCCCTGGTAGAACTCCTGACTAGCATGCAAAGAGCCCTGGATGCCTTCCCAGCACCTCCAGAAGCGAACAAAAGTGCACTGTGTAATTCAGCCTTTTCATAACCCTGTGGCTTCTGGAAGATTTTCACATTACATTCTCTCTCTCTTCAGGCAAAATAAAATCAGTTTTATTTTTCCCATTTTACATATCAGATAATACATGGAGAAGTGTCATAATTCCCCCAAGGTCCTGTAAGGAGAGAGCCGCAGACTAGAATCCAACTCTGCAGACCCTACTCCAGCAGTGCACGCGGCACCAGCTCCTGCCTCTCCGGTAGTTCATCTAGGTCCCCTCTCTGCTGCAAGTCATCCACAGGTGGCACGGAAGTCAGGAGCGTGAGTATACTTGGACCTCTTACCAGGTGTTCCTTCGTTATCACCCGAGAGTGCTCCTTTTCCCTGGGAGTCACCCTGATTCCCTATCCCTCCTGCAGACCTTGCTCCCACCTGGTTGCCCCAAATAAAGCATAATTTGTTATGTCCCTTGGGGCGGTGGGGTCGGGTGTAGGAAGTGACTTTCTCCAGGGTAGGACAATAGCAACACCAGCATTTGCTGCTAGGCAGGTGACTTTAGGGGCAACCACCCCTGTCGGCAGCTGTGCTCCTTTCAAGATGTTTGGTGTTCTGTTTGGGGCAGACGCAGCCCTGCAGAGAAGCTTGCAAGGAACCAGCCCTGATCACGGAGTCAGAGTCGCTGGCTCACTCCTTCTACAGGACCCAGAAAGGACTCTATAATAATGAATTCTCCCCCGAGGTGTCCCCGCCTAGGTTCTTGGACAGGTGACCATGACCTGGAACTGCAGGTCTCAGGAAGGTGCCCTCCTCCGTGTGTGATGTGAGTATGTGGGCGTTTTCCCAACCCAAACCCTGCTGGCCAGCGCCCTGCCTGGGGGAGATGGGGTGGTCCCAGTGCTCCTGCTCCTGCCCTGGCTGCAGACAATGACCGGCTCTTGGGCCTTGCTGAGTGGTTCTGCCCCGCAGCCCCAGCCCCTGACACTGCAGGCAGTTTCCACACTGGGCTGACCGTGGAAGGTGTGTTCTAATACCTTTTCAATCCCCACACACCACGAAGGCCTCTAATCACAGGTCAAGCTGGTCATACAAAAATGTCCTGGAGGACACAACTGCATTTTGATAGGGTTAAAACAGATGTACGTCAGACAGGTCAGACAGTGGATAGCCCACGTCCAAACTATAGTATTAATTCAGACCAGGGTCGAAATCCCAGCAGCACCTCTTATACCACAGGAGTACTAGTTTTCTCACATGTGCAACAGGGTTATGCTGGGCATGACAGTACAGCCTGCAATCCCAGCTACTCGGGGGACTGGGGCAGCTCGTCCGAGGCTAGCCTCTACAGCTTAGCGAGACCCTGTCTCAAAATAAAAAAATAAAAAGGATGTAGCTCAGAGGTAAAGTGCTCCTAGGTTTGGTCCCTGGTACCTAAATAAATAAGTAAATGCAATAGCAGAGTGACCAGCGTGTGGCGAGTGCTGAGAGCTAGTTGGGATTCCCGTGGCTTCGTGGATTTGAAAGTCCAGATCTAAGGGAATGGAAAGGGAAGCTTTGGGGAGGTGAGGGTAGTTTAAAGTGTTCTAATTATCTATACTGTTAAGTCTCAAAACTAATGCAAGGGCCTTGGAGAGACGCTGCCCTGACACTCACTTATTCCAGTGTGCCCTGTGGCACCCAGAATGGGTGCTCCTGCATCACCTGCTTGCAGCTCCTCCTGCCTGTCCAGTCGCATAAGGCAACACAGCCTGGCTGATGCTTTTCTTTTCTTCTTCTTGTTTTCTTTCTTTCTTTCTTTCTTTCTTTTTTCTTTTTTCTTTTTTCTTTTTCTTTTTTTTTTTTGTACTGTACTGGGGATTGAATCCAGGGGCTTAACTACTGAGCCACACCCCCAGCCCTTTTTATTTTTTATTTAGAGACAGGGTCTCACTGTGTTGCTTATGGCCTTCCTACAGAGGCTGACTCTGAACTTGAGATCCTCCTGTCTCAGCCTTCCAAGCCGCTGGGATTATAGGTGGGCCCCGTGGCGCCTGGCCTCTGGTTGATGCTTGTTGTCACAGTGGATCTACGAATAAGGCCACTTTCATCTTTTTTTTGTGCTGGGACTGAACCCAAGGCCTCGCACATGCTATGCAAGCTGTCTGCCACTGAGCTACGCCCAACATCCCAACCTAGGTAGTAAGTATCCTGGTTTGAATAATGAATTTCAAGTTTGTCATCTCCATATACAGAATGTCCTAATTTCACTAGACAATTTTACTAGCCATTAGTAAAAGCCAAAAATTCAATTATGAACATACCTGCTTCAAAATGTTTTCCATCACATACTTTTGTAGGGACATCTCCAGTTTAGGATCAGAATCCAGGATGCAGGCAAGCCTCAGGAAGTCTAGGAGGGCAGGAGGAGGGTGGACTTAGCAAGGGAGGGTGGGACGGGCTGGTGACTGCTGAAGGAAACTGCAGGAGGCCTTTGTTTTGGACTAAGCTCCTCAGGGGCCTGGGGCTAGGTCAAAAGGGAGCCACTTGTCATGAAGCTCCAGGTCCCCAGCTAAAACTAAGCTGCGTCTCTGACCTTCTGGGAGAATCAGGACAAGAGGGATCAGCAAACTCTCCCAACAGAACAGTGCCAATTGGCACAATTGACACATGAAAAGGCACATGAAAAGGCCGATGGATGCTATTTTTCTGTCTGTCTCCTTGGCCCTGCTTCCCAAGAAAGTCACTTTGAAATGACCAGTCGCTTGTTCTGCTTTGATCCTGCTTCCACAGCCCTTTTCTCTTTACAAAACCAACTCGGTCTGCGCCCCTCCTCGGAACGCTTACTCTCCTTGATGGAACCAGGTGTTGTGGATTCTGGACTCGCCGACTACAGCCAATGGTGTTCTCTAAATTGTTGTAATTTTGTCCTCTGATGAGGAAATGGAGAAACAGCCTCAAGAAAAAGAGCAATCTGAGATGAACCACCTCGGGTGAGGCTGGAGAGGAAGCCATTGAGCTGGGCTTACTGGTGGCCGAGAAGCAGCCCCAGACAGGGAAGAGGGCAGAAGCTTGAGAGCAGGGACAAGGTGTCAGTGGCTCAGCCTGGGCACGCCTGACCCGGCTGCTCAGGAGGCTGAAGCAGGAGATGGCTGGAGCCAGCTGTGGTGAGCCAGGCAACCCAGCACAACCCAGGCTCCAAACAACTAAAATAAAGAAGAATTAGAGGACTGACGAGTGGAGAACCATAGCCAAGGTGCACTGTGTCAAGAAATGGGGCACAAGGACAAGCACAAACAGATCCGCACGATGCTCTTCAGAGAGTCTGAGGCTTGAGTCGGATTCAAAGAGGCTTCACTTTTTCTTTCATCAAGGGAAACTCAGCCAGAGCTTAGAAGATGAGGATGGGGACCAGTGTCCAGGGAGAGGGTGCTACTGAGAACTGCTCTTCTAGGGGACGCGAAGCAGGTCTCTGGGTTGCTGGTAGGACCGGGAGTTGTGCTGAGGGGCAAGGGGTCACCTACATGGAGGGTACTTACTTTTGTGTTCACCAGGATAATAATCCATGAAGGTCATACATTTCGTGAAAAATTCCTCAAAGTTAAAAGAAGGGGGTGGTTTTAAGAAGTTAACCTAAATAAAAGAAAAAGAGAAGTTCTCACTTGTTCTGAGGGTTATCTGGTCCTTTAGTGTGAATTTCCAGTAGAAATTCGGGAATATGCTCTTGCGTGTCTAGGTAAACAGTGATTGGTGTTCTTAAACACAAAAGCTCTTTAACTTATAAAACTGAAAATTTTTTTTTTTTTTAAAGAGAGAGTGAGAGACAGAGGGGGACAGAGAGAGAGAGAGAGAATTTTAACATTTATTTATTTTTTTCTTAGTTCTTGGCGGACACAACATCTTTGTTGGTATGTGGTGCTGCTGAGGATCGAACCCGGGCCGCACGCATGCTAGGCGAGCGCGCTACCGCTTGAGCCACATCCCCAGCCCCATAAAACTGAAAATTTAAGTAAAAAATTTAGAGCTTCGGGTTTTAGCTCAGAGAGGGCCTGTGCTTACATGTGGGAGGCTGAGTTCCATCTTCAGCTCCAAAGAGAAAAATTTAAAAGTTTCTCTAACTATTCACTAAGATTTCAATGTTCACCCAGGCCCCGTGGCACTCGCCTGTGATCCCAGCAACTGGGAAGGCTGAGGCAGGAGAATCAGAGCTTGAGGCCAGCCTCAGCAGCTGAGCAAGACCCTGCCTCACAATAAAAAATAAAAAGGACTGGTGATGTAGCTCAGTGGTAAAGCACCCCTGGGTTCAATCCCCCGCATCCCCCCCCCTAAAAAAAGAAGAAGAGTGGGAGAACCATAGCCAAGGTGCATGGTGGGTGCGTCAAGAAATGGGGGCACAAGAACAAACACAAACAGATCCGCACGATGCTCTTTCATCAAGGGAAACTTGGCCAAAGATATACAGGTTAGTCCTCTGGAAGGGCCCTCTGTGTATCTGTGTATATATACTGGGCACTGAAATCTTCCCTCTTTCTTTTTTTAAAGATTTTATTTATTTTTTTATTTTTGGTACTGAGGATTTAACTTTACCCCTGAGCTAGATCCCAGTCCTTTTTACATTTTGAGACAAGTTCTCACTAAGTTACTGAGGTTGATGAGGCTGGCCTTGTCCTCCTGCCTCAGCCTCCTGAGCTGGGACGACAGGGTGCACCCCACCCCATGCCCGCCTCTGGAGTATTCTGCCTTCTCTGCCCCCAAACACATACTTTGTTTGATAGTGAGAATATGTGCAAACTGTATTTTTATAACTTTTCTGAAAGTCTAAAATCAATTCAAAATTAAAACCGTTTTGAAAGGTGTGAAAATGACGGCAGGTGGGGACATGGCTGTCCTAGCCAGCTGGCTCCTGGCTTGGGCGTGGACTGAGGAGGAGCAGGAGGGGGGGGTCTGTGGTGGGAGGGTGGTGGAAGGATGTCCCGGGCGTGAGTGCCTCCCACCTGGGCCTCATCTCCGTGGTGCCAGCCCCTCCCTGCCCACTCAGCTCTCCTCCCTTTTCACACTCTCAAAGCACAGGGTACCGGGGTCTGAACCCAGGGGCGCTTAACCACGGAGACACACCCCAGCCCTCTTTTATATTTTTTTTGAGAAAGGGCCTTGCTAATTTGCTGAGGCTGGCTTTGAACTTTCAATCCTCCTGTCTCGGCCTCCAGAGTTGCTGGGACTACAGGTGTGAACCACCACATCTGTCTTCAAGGCACCGATTCTCTAACTAGCCATTTTGCAAGGACAGTTCTAGGCAAGTTAGAGGCCTGTCCTCCCTCCAGTGGCCTGGCTGTCATCCCTTGCCTCCAGTCCTCATGCTAGTGAGCATTAGCCCTGGGTAGGAGGGTGCTGGGTAGTGATAATAGGGCCAATGGCGCCCTCAAAACAACTCCCTCTGCTCCCAGGTAACAGCCAGCAGATCCTTCCTTAAGCAAGGTCACTAACCGTCCGGGCCCCTGCCCCTGCCGAGGACCTCAGTACCTCAATTCCACATCCTTAGGCGCCCACAGTAAGCCTGCTTTCTTCCTCAGCCCACCAAGCTGGCTCCTAAGCCAAAGCCCACTTAGTCTAGCCCAGACTGGCTCCACCCTGTCTGCAGCCCAGGAATGTTGGGGAACCAACCTCTGGCACAAACTGGCAGGACGTTCTGCAGGCAGCAAGTCACACCTACCTTAACTGCTCTCTGATCCGGAATCCTCTCAATTTCAATCATGTTCCGATCGCAGAGCTGCCAGCAGTTGGGTGACAGAATGACATCGTTCATTCGGGCCATGTTCTGTGCAAGGCGCACATCATCCACCGCCTGTCCAATCACCAGGAAGTAGTTGCGTGTGTCATCTCCAAAGACCAGCATGGAGATGTGGCCAGCAGCCAGCCCTGGCAAGCAGGGGAGCCACAGGTGGGCACAAGTCCTGGGGATTCCCAGCAGGACAAGCTGTTGGAGGAGTCAGAATCTTGACTCCTCTACCTCAAGGCAAATCCCATTTACAAAGTTTTACATAAGGATCAGAGAATGTCCCTTCCAGGCTCAGGTCTTCTGAAATGCCCCATTTGTTGAAGCTAGAAATTTCAGCTACTAGTATTAGCCTTTCTGTGTTGTCCCTACCAATGCCCAAAGTTATTTTACTGGGTCTTTGGTTTATTTGTACATAATGGCAATAGAAAACAACTCTAATAATCCTGATTTGGGGAGGATTTTCATTTTATAAGAGATTGAGGCTTCAACTAAAATGAAACCGTAGAGTCCCGCATTTAGACGTGGCCAGAGGGGAGGGGAAAGGAGTCTCGAGGGCTGAGGCTCCTGTCATTCTCAAGAAGGGTTCTAGCTCGGTCTCTGTAGGTGTTTGCTTGGAAAACAAAAAGAGGGCTTTCTTTTCCCACAACAGAACATGTAATTTATTTGAAAATTTAAAATAACAGCAAAAGGGGGCAGAGGTTAAAGGAGGCGAGGAACAGTTAATTGGATGACCTCTGACGTTCCCATCGGCTCCGACAGAGGCTCCTGGGGTAAAGGGTTTAGCCGAGCGGACACTGACACCAACATCCGCTACGTTGCTCTGTGACTCATGGTTTGCACCGCAGGATCCCATTCCTCGCCTGTGAAATGGGCACAGCGATGCCTGCACCCTGGGATGGTGGTCAAGGGGAAGAGCTGGCTGCGTAGTGTCCGCAGCACTGTGGGAACACAGCGGCAGGAGCCGCACCCGCCTGACCTTAGGGAGTGCTGCAGACAGTGGGAGCCGGGGACGGGCTGTTGTGGCACATCATTCCTACAAGGGGGACAGGTGGCCCATCTGATGTCCTCGCTGAATCTGCCCAATGGCAAGCTACCCTCGGTTGTGCTTAATGCACAACCGAGGGTAGCTTAATGAGATAGAGTAATGCCAGCCCCGGCTCTAACCAGGGCCCTCTGCTCAGTGGTGCCCGTGTGCCAGCTACTGAAGGAGCCACGCTGCTTTTGTGGTAGCCCACTGGGCAGCGTCAGGCCGGCCCACATTCTCTCAGGTGGCGCACGGCGCTCCGCCCGCCTCCAGGCCACCCTCTCTGGCCCTGCCTGGGCCCCTGCAGCGGCCCAGGAGCTCACCTATCTTCACGCGGACGTCCAGCCCTTCCTCAACCTCCTGGTCCTCGAACAGCCCGTGGATCTCCAGGCTGCACTTGATCACCACCGTGATAATGTTCTTCAGCTGCTTCCGCTCCACCTTCCACAGCGCCAGCAGCGCGTCACCTTTGGGAGAGACACGCGGGACTTGGGGCCTGGGTGGAGGGCAGCTTTGGTGAGGTGCACTCTCAGCCAGCCCCGGTGCGTCCTCCATACCTGCAAACTTCAGGATGTCTCCCCCGAACATCAGCACTTCTGAGGAGAGACAAGGGGGGTCAGCTCGCTCTGCCTCCGCCAGTGGCCACGGGGTCCTTGCCACAGGTGCAGCAGCTCGGAGGACAGGCTTGGTCTCAAGACACCTCCCGCCAGGCCCAGCGGTGCCTCCAGGCCGTCAGGAGCACGCTGGGCCAGGCCTCAGGGCTCCACTCTGTGCCTATGGGGATGGCTGCCCTCCTCCGGGGACCAGGTGGGCTTGTGTGAGTATGTGCACATGTGTGTGCCCAAGTGACAGGACCCCACCAGCACAGGAGGCAGGAAGTGGGGAGATGGCAGTCCGTGGGGTCATTGCGGGTTTGGGCTGTTTTGTCTCCACTGCGCTGTAAAGGGACATTTTCTTCTCTGAGCTGCGGGTCTGCACGGACTTGCTGAGAGCGACCGTGCTGAGCAGCGTGCAGGAGGAACCGGCCAGGTCTGCTTCTGTGAGCCTGAAGCGCTGCCTAGAGGGTGACCTTACGGCATTGCCAGGGAACTCAGAGCCCACGGCCCTGTGGGCATAGAGATCACCCCACCCACAAACCCTTCTCTTCATGAACAGTTCAAATTATCATTGCAAACCAGAGGCCGGCAGAGGTGGAAAGGGGACCTGACCCAGCTGGGAGGGCTTCAGGACACACGGTGGGGAGACCCTGGGATCTGCTCACGCTCTCCCTTAGTCTGGGCTGTATGGAGGGCAGATTTCAGAAGAGCTGAGCATGCTGGGGGCAGCCTGCACCTCAGCCCCTCTGGGTGCACAGCACCTTTCCCTCGGGCCGCCTGTGCCCTGAGGCTTGTCCACCCCCTTCAGTGTGCCACAGCCCACGCAGGGAAAGGCCTGCTTCCAACGTCAGCTGGGTGACTGCACTTGGCCACAAACCACACATAGGGAAGGAGCAGGCGTCAACACCTCCTCCAGCCGGGGCCGCGGGACACTCACTCTCAACGATGGCGCTAATGTAGTAGTTGAGGATCTCCACCAACTGCTCGGCCCCGCGGTCCATGTACATGGCTGTGCTGAACTTCTCTGTCATCGCAGTGAAACCTGCAACAAATGTGCAGCTGGCTTTCTTGGCCACTCGGAGGAGCAAGCGGAGCTAGAAGATGCCGACAATGGCTGCGCTCGAGAGCAGGGGACTTGTTTGTTTCTTTTCCTTTTTGTTTTTTCTGGTACTGGGGTTAAACCCAGAACACTCGGCCACTGAGCTACATCCCCTGAAAGGGCCACACCAGGTGCGGTGGCACACACCTGTAATCCCAGTGGCTCTGGAGGCTGAGACAGGAGGATTGCAAATTCAAAGCCAGACTCAGCAACTTAGTGAGGCCCTGTCTCTAAGTAAAATACAAAAAAGCGTCGGGGATGTGGCTCAATGGTAAATGCCAATCTCCAGTACCGAGAGAGAGAGAGATAGATAGATAGAGAGAGAGAGAGAGAGAGAGAGAGAGAGAGAGAGCGCTTCACTAAATTGCTGAGGCTGGCCTCCAACTTGCCACGCTCCTGCCTCAGCCTGGCCCTGGCTTTCTGGGATTACAGGGGTGCACGCTGCACATGGCTCAGAGTTTCTTCTTAATGGTCTTTTGGCTGGTCAGGTGTCACGCATGCAGCCTCCTCTATCTGTTCATCATCTTAGGGGCCAAGGAGAGGTTCCAGGTGGCTCTTTTGTTCAGACTCAACTTGTCCAGTGATGGCTGCGATTCCTGTAACTGGGAATAGAACTTTCATTCCAGGAGAATAAAAACACGCATTTCAACTCCTTTGAAGAAATGGCAAGTTCAGTGTTGAGACGTAAACACCGAGGGCGATCATTTCTGAGTTTGCTGTGATAGGAGCGGGAGTGGGGTTGGGGCAGGAGTCAGTGAAACAGGAGTAGGGACGCTGGAGCCTGGAGTCCCCTCCCTGGTGAGGGACGTGGGCCTCGTGAAGCTCTGCCCACGACTGGCAGTTGAGGTGGGGCGGACCAGAGAGCCGGCCCAGAGGCTGCGCCAGTGTCCTGGGGAGGGCGTCCTCAGGAACAGCGCGGGCAGGAGTCAAGCGCCAGCGCGGCTCACGCCCACCGGACAGGGCCCCTTCTGCACTTGCCTGAAATGTCCACGAACATCAGGACTCCATCGAAGTAGTCCACGGAGGGTCGCTCCTGAGAGTAGTCTCCGTAGACGATGAGGTCGGGCAGGTGAGCCGCGATCCTGACGATGGTCCGGTCCTGCAGCTCTTCTCGCCGCGTGCCCATGCTCAGGACCAGTGCTCAGGACTTCCCGGCGACAGCAGACGGTCCTCAAATAGGCCTTCTAGGAAGAAAAGTTGGGGGTCGAAGAGTCTGACATATTCGTGGCTCACTTTCCTTTTTCTCATTCTCTCTCTCTCTTTTGGTATTGGGGACTGGACCCAGGGGTGCTTGCCCACTGAGCCCCATCCCAGGGTCTCCCTAGGTCGCTTGGGGCCTTGCTAAGTTGCTGCTTCAGACTTGGGATCCTCTGCCTCAGGCATGCGACCTGCAGCTGGCCTACTGCTCTTCGCGGGCTTTGTTCCCACCTGGCCTTGCTTATCTAGATGGCTGGGAGGTGACAGCGGCAGAGTGCAGCAGGAAAGCCCTCACAGACCTCGAGGCCCTCCACCCCAAAGGCACGCCTGCCAGGCAGCAAGGCCGTCACTTCACGCAGGGACAGCCCCCGCGAGCCTGGGAGACGGTTCCCCTGGCCAGACCCTCTCCTGTCGCCCTGCGTCCGTCCCTTCCCCCCTTTTCCTGTCTTATCTCTTTCCTTTTTTGAAAAATTACATAAAAGTCCAGGTGTGAGGGGGCTGGGGATGCCGCTCAGCGGCAGAGCGCCTGCCTGGCGTGTGCGGGGCCGCGTTCGATCCCAGCACCACAAACAACCAAAGTGAAGGTGGGTTTTCTTCTGTGCAGAGGAGTGTGCAGTGTTTAATGTGCGGGAAGAAGTCGCCTGAGTCAAGGCCAGTGTCCAGTGCAGAGTGGGAGCTGGGGGGGGTGGGCCGGGAGGCCTGAGCGGGCGAGGCTCTGGGAAAGGCAGCCTGGAGGTGTGCAGCGCGAGTCTCAGCCCCGCCCGTGGGATCGAGGGGAGCAGGGTTCCCGGGCCCCCTTCACTCTGGGGAGATCAGATGCGCAGGCCCAACTCTGCCAGCCAGACGGTCACAGTGGCCCAGGTTTTCCAGAGCACACCAATTTCTGAAAACAGTTTACCACAGAAAAGGAAAGGAAAGCGGTCACTTTTGTTCTCGTTCTGGCCAGCAGGAAGGAACCGGTTGGTGATTTCAACCAGACACAGGTCATATTGGGATGCAGGAGTATTCAAAGGAAAGAGTAAGCCTGCCACATAAGCTCCTTAGACTTAAGGGAAGCCATTTCTTTTTATGGGGGATGGGAGTACTAGACAGTTAACCGAGGGGGGCTTTACCACTGAGATGCAATCTCCATCCCTTTTTAAAATTTTTTTTTTTTGACAGGGTCTCAATGAGTTGCTTAGGGCCTCACTAAGTTGCAGAGGCTAGCCTTGAACTTGTGATCCTCCTATCTTAGTCTCCGGAGTTGAGCAATTTCTTTTATTTATTTAATTTTTTTTTTTAGAATTTATTTATTTAGTTAGTTAGTTTTTGGCGGACACAACATCTTTGTTTGTATGTGGTGCTGAGGATCGAACCCGGGCCACACGCATGCCAGGCGAGCGCGCTACCACTTGAGCCACATCCCCAGCCCCCAATTTCTTTTAATGTTAAGGAAAATGTCAGAATTTTTAACAGATAAGCTTTAGAATTATGGAAACCTCTAAAAATGAGTAGTACATGTTAGATATTTGGTAAACTTTAAAAGGGACAGTTGGGGGCCAGGTACATAGCTCAGTGATGGAGCGCATACTTGGCATGAACGAGGCCCTGGGTTTGATCCACAGAATGAACAAAGAAAAACAAAGGTGTGAGAAACTGAATGTCCAGACTCAGTTCAGACTTAGGGAAAATGCTTAAGTTAAGAAAACTTCAGAGGGGTTCTTTGGCTTTATTGAGAGCAAAGACATCAACGAGGAGTAAGGACAAAGCTCACCCTGCATGCTTCTGTCTCAGTGTTCTCCGCCGCAGGAATTAAAAGGATAAGGCGGACTGCTGAACTTCTTTTTTTCTCCTTTTTAAAAGGTGGTTTAAACAATAAGGAGTTTATTGGAACATACATCAGTGTGTGGGTGTGGTAGGGAAAGCTCTCTCCTCAGGACTCCTTAGGGCTGCGGAGCACCGCGCTTCCCCTCCTGAACACACTGGGGACCCTGTGCAGATAGGACACGTGCCTGCCTCTCTGAGTCTCGCAAGACCAGGCTACAAGGGGATTCCTGAAAATGCAGACCTGTAAGTCCGCAGTGTCTGTCAAGCTCACCCAGGTCATGTCCACCAACAGCTAACCTAAACCTCAGGGCCTTGTTTCTTGTTTGTTTCTGGCTCAAATTACCTGCCTGCTGTGGGTTGCATGGGCTCTCCCCAGTTGCTGCCTTCACTTGGGGACCTTCTCTTGGGAACAGGCAGTGGGAAAGCAGGTGGGTAGACTTATTCTCCTCCCAGAAGTTACACGTTTCTCTCATGACATTGACCAAAGCATGTGACAAGAACACACCTCACTTTGGGTAGGCAGGAAAGTGCAATCCTGCCACGCGAGGGCAGGAGAAAGTGCCGCAGTGTCTGTGAGCATCCGCTTCAGAAAGAGGCCATCCCAGGAGTCATGGACTCAGAGCCAGAGCCGCTGACCTTCGCCCCCTCTGACTCCGTCTTTCCTTGCCCTTCTCCCGCCTCTCTTGCTCCAGGCGACTGTGGCACTCAGGATGGCCTTGGACTCCCTGGCTTCAGCGATTCTCCTGCCTCAGTCCCCTGAGTAGCTGGGATATGGCCCATTGGGCCTGGCTCAACTTCTTTTTTTTTTGAAGGACTATAAAACTTTTAAATCACGAGAATGCTATAGACTTTAACAAAGCATTTGACCAAATTTTTCATAGACTTGTGAGTAGAATACAAAATTATAGAAATGATGAAAATAATATTAGCTGGCTTAACAATCATACTAAATGATATTGATAAATGTCTTAATATCAACTCAGAAGAAGCCTTCGTGGGCTTGCTGGAGGACTTTGATAACAATATAATGGAAAGATAAAATAGGAAGTGAACCTAAGTGGCTGTTATGGTTTGGGTATGAAGTGTCATTCCAAGAGCTGATGTGTAGAAAACGTACATCTCATGGGCCATGCTCAGAGGTGAAAGGATCAGATCATGAGGACTATGGTCTCATCAGTGGGTCACTCTATGTAATGGATTCATAATTTGAATGGACTAGTGGGTGGCAAATGTAGGCAGGAGGGGTGTGGACGGAGGAAGTAGGTCACCGGGGGACATGGCCTTGGATGATATTTGTCCCTGGCCCCTTCCTTTCTGTTTCCTGGCTTCTGAGAGCTGAGCAGCGTTCCCCTACCTGCCTTTCTGCCATCATGTTCCACCTCCCTTGGGTCCAGAGAAATGGAGTTGGCTGACCGTGGACTGAGATCTCTGATATTGTGGGCCAATATCAACTTTCCTCCTCTAAGTTGTTCTTGTCAGTGGTACAAAGCTGACCAACACGGTGGCCACTGACAGATGAATGGATAAAGAAAACGTTGTGTGTACAGGTCCAGTGGAATACTATTCAGCTTTAGGAGGGAGAGAAAGAAGGCAGCTCTGTTGTGACAACATGGATGAACGTGGAGCATATTGCATCATGTGAAGTCAGCCAGGCAGACAGACAGCACCGCACAATCTCACCCACACACGGAACCCAAAACCTCGGGCTCACAGGCAGAGACTGGCGGTTGCCAAGGGCTGGGGTAGGGCGGGGGCACGGGAAGAGGTTGACTGAAGTGCATATTTCAGTTAGATGGGATGAATAAGTTAGAGATCTAAACTACAGCATGGAGACTGCAGTTATTTATACATTGAATTCACGAAAATTGCTAATCTTACATGTTCTCACCACAAAAAAAGAGGTGAGTGTGCTAGGTGACAGGTGTATTGATCACCTCAATTTAATCCTTTCATATTGTATTAGTATATTGAAACATCATGTTGTACACCATAAAAATGTACAATTTTTATTTGTGAATTTTACCTTGATAAAGTTGGAAGGGAACAAAATTTTGAAAATATCTGGAGGGAGAACTGATGTACTAGAACCAGGGTCTTAATTTTGTGTGTGTGTGTGTGTGTGTGTGTGTGTGTGTGCTAGAGATTGAACCAGGGCTTTGCATATATCAAGACATGTGGTCCTCCTGCCTCAGCCTCCTGAATAGCTATTTAGAGGTTTGTTTGCTTTTGTTATGGAGAATTGAACTAGAGTGCTTTACTATTGAGCTACATGCCCAGCCATTTTTGTTTTTTATTTTGAGACAAGGTCTCTCTAAATTGCCCAGGCAACTAACTAAGTTGGGATCCACCTGCTTCAGTCTTCTGAGTTACTGGGACTATAGTCATGACCCACCCTGCCCACCTAGCTATTTAGAGCTTTTCTAAATTAATTAATGTTTTAGTTATAGGTGGACATGATATCTTTATTTTATTTTTATGTGATGCTGAGGATTGAAATGTGCCTCACACATGCTAGGTGAACACTCTATCTTTGAGACATGACCCCAGCCCCTATTTAGAGTTTTTAACAAAATCAAATGTAATCCCAGTGGCTTAGGAGGCTGAGGCAGGGGGATCCCACACTTGAGGCCAGCCTCTGCAACTTGGCAAGAACTTGTCTCAGAATAAAAGACGGAACTCAATGGTGGAGTGCCCCTGGGTACAGCTCCTTGTACTACGGGTGGGGGTGGGGGAACTGCTGCTTTTAGACATGCCAGGCCCCCGTAGAAGCACATCACTAACTATTTTAATAAAGCTATTTGATTTCATGGTCAAGGAAGATAATCAAATTGCATAGCATATGGTTTGAAAAACCAGATTAATTGCAAATCAATGCTTTGACAAACCCTTTTATTTAGTTATTTATTTATTTAGTTGTGATTGGACACAATACCTTTATTTATTTTTTATGTGATGCTGAGGATCAAACCCAACGCCTTGCACATGCTAGGCAAGTGCTCTATCGCTGAGCCACAACCCCAGTCCGACCAACTCTTTTATTAGAGAACAGTATAGATGTAGGAAATGCACAGATCATAAGTTATAGCTTGAGTTATTATCACATTAACAAACCCAGGTGACACCCATTTGTATCACCAAAGAGAATGTGGCCAGCACCCCAGAGGCCCTTCTGGGGCACCTCCCTGTCATTCTCCCTCCCTTCTCTCTCGATTAATAGATTTTGATATGGAAATTGAACCCAGGAACACTTTACCCACTGAGGCACATCCCCAGTCCTCTTTATTATTATTATTATTATCATTTTGAGACAGGATCTTATATAAGTTTGCCCAAGATGGCCTTGACTTGTGATCCTCCTGCCTCAGCCTCCCAAGCCTCTGGGATGAGGCATGTGCCACTGTGCCCAGCTCCTCTCTTGATCTCTGATGCCATAGATATTTACAAGTTTTTCAACTTTAAATAATTGAAATCATACCTTATATTTTTTTCCCTCAAACGTCTGTGATATTCATTCTTGGTTGTGTCTTTGTCAATAATCATTGATTTTCAATAGTGTATTGAAATTCTATTACCTGATGATACCACCAAGTACTTGTTCATTGTACTGTTGACCTATGGTCTGTTTTGGCTACTAGGAGAAGGTTTCTGAGAACATTCTTATCGATGTGGTTGGGTGAACACACGGATGCAGTACTCTCCGGGAATACGCCTGTGCCTGGAATTGCTGGGTCGCAGGATGCACATATATTGAACTTTAATTCATCTTTTTTTCTTTTTTTTAGTGCGAGGGATCTACCCCAGGGCCTCGTGCATGCTAGGCATGTGCTCTGCTGCTGGGCTACCCCAGACTCCAGGCCAACAGAGCTTGCCAAACGGCCTTCTGAAGTCCGGCGAGGACAGGCTGTGAGTGCAGTGCTCCGCACAGTCTCCTGGGTTCAGTCATTTTGCTCCCTGAGAGCTGGCATCTGGCTTGTTCTTCTCTTTTGTGCTGAAGAGACTGAGCACCTTTTCATGTCTGTGGGCCACTTGGGTGCTGGGCTTCTTGAGGTACATGGGCAGTGTTCAGAGCTGATCCCGAATGAACTTAGGCTCCACCAGTTCAAAGCCTGCTTTGAATTTCATTGACTATGGAACATGAGGAACAATAGGAGAGATTGGAAATATCAAGTCAGGAGATGACGACATTTGGGCTAACATGATAGTTGTCTTCAGATATTCAGACTGAAATGCGAAAGCCATGGGGTAAGTAGGAGACACAGGTCCTCACATGAAGCCTTATGTGGCCCCCGCAGTGCACCAGAGAACCACCCCACTTGCCCAAGGTAGGGATTTTGTTTGGCTAAATAAGAACAAGTTCCTGCTGGGTGTGGTGGTACGTGTCTGTAATCCCAGCAGCTCTGGAGGCTGAGGCAGGAGGATTGAAAGTTGAAAGCTGGCCTCAGCAATTTACTGGCCTCAGCAATTTAGCAAGACCCATCTCAAAATAAAAAAGGGGCTGGGGATGTGGCTCAGGGTTTAAATGCCCTTGAGTTTAATCCCTGGTACCAAAAGGAAAAAAAAAATCAAGTTCCTGGAAAAAGTAAAGAGAGAAAGGAAAGCTGGCAATTTTTCTGTGGTGGAGGGAGTAAGTTTATCGAGGAATAAGTGGCTTTCTACATCTTATAGCCAGAGAGGCCCTGGAAAGGCCCCTGTAGCAGCCCCAGAACTGAGACGACCGCGAGGAGCTGAGCGGGGTGTGGTGTCCCCTCCTGTCCTACTGGCGCACTGTCTCTAATTTGTTCCCACTGGCTACTGCCCGCCTGTGAGATTGCCAGTGTGAGCAAGTGAAAATACAGGATGCCCAGTGAAGTTGAATTTTAAATGAAAATGAGTGAATTCTTAGGATAATATATTCCAGACATGCCCTTTCTTTTCCTTTTCCTTTTTTACGGGGGATTGAACCCTGGGGTGGATAACCACTGAGCCACACCCCCAGCCCTGTTTATGTTTTATTTAGAGACAGAGTCTCACTAAGTTGCTTAGGGCCTTGATAAATTGCTGAGTCTGGCTTTGAACTTGAGATCCTCCTGCCTCATCCTCCCAAGTTGCTGGGATTACAGGCGTGCACCTCCACACCCAGCTCCAGACATGGTCTCCAACAAGCAGCCTCACTGCATCTTTCCACACCCTCTTCACAAGCACAATGTGGACCTATCGGCTTGAGTTTTGATGCTGCATGGAAAGACTCATTTCCCTGGAAAGGTCAGTGGGATCAATGACTGGCAGTTCCTGGGACGCACATGATGTAAAGATGAACACCCCATCTGGGCAGTTGGGAAGATTGCCTAGTTGCCTGCCTGTGAGGGTAGAGGCCATTCTTACAAGTTAGTGGGAAGAGATGATGGCTGATTCCTTTTCTGTTTTTGTACCTGGGATTGAATCCAGGAGTGCTCTACCACTGAGCTATATCTCCAGTGCTTTTTATTTTTTATTTTTGAGACAGGGTCTCCTGAAGTTGCTGAGGCTGGTCACAAATTTGAGATCCTCCTGCCTTAGCCTCCCTTGTAGCTGGGATTACAGTTGTACACCATCAAACAACTTCATTGTTTTAAAAAAAGTGATTTGAGGGGCTGGGGTTGTGGCTCAGAGGTAGAGTGCTCACCTAGCATGCATGAAGCACTGGGTTCAATCCTCAGCACCACATAAAGTAAAATAAAGACATTGTGTTCACCTATAACTAAAAAATAAATATTAAAAACAATTAGAAAAAAGTGATTTGAGGACAGATTTTTTTTCTAAGTTTATGAATACTAAGCAAGGAAACTAGATGCATTTTGATTGAAATGACAAGTGAAAGAATATTTTTGTTCATGGGCTTAAAAAGCAGAGACATCTAGTTGGGTGTGGTGGCCATGCCTGTAATCCCTGTGATTTGGGCGACTGAGGCAGGAGGATGGCAAGTTTAAAGCCAACATGGGCAAGACCTTGTCTCAAGTTAAAAAAAATAATAATAAAGGCACTGGGGCCGTAGTGGTGCCCCTGGGTTCAATCCTTGATATCCCTCCCTGCTCCTGACAAAAAAGCAGACACATCTAAAATATCTGGGAGTTTTCTTATGAACAGCCACCCACAGATGATACGAGAAATTTTACATTTTAGAGTAATCCTGTCTTAAGTTCTGCAACACTAGGGCATGGTTTTAATAACAGAGATGTGTACTTTCTGTGACATAGAGCATATTGTAATCATGATTTGTTAAGACCGTTTTGCATGATGAGGTCACCTCATTTAACCCTCCAAGCAGCATGGAGTCAGGCTCAGAGGTGCTGACTTGCCCCGTCACACAGCTGGAGAACTCGGGTGTGAGTCCATGTTCTTTCCTCTCTTTCGGGCTGGAATCCCATTTGAATATGATTTATGACACTTTGGGGATGTGATGGCCCAGAAAAAAGGTGTATCCCATCTTAGAGCGCTCTGACCACACTGATGGCATTCTCCACAACTGTGTGGCCACTTGAAGAAGTGAGGAGAGCGGGATCCGAGTGGGTGCTGTGCATGAACGCATCTAGGCGCACAGACACCAAGTCAAGGACTGAGCATGTGAGCGAGGCTCCAGGGTAGCCAGCAAGAGGGACATGTTTGCAGTTCTGCTCTGCTTAGAGAAGACTCCGCAGTCTCAGTATGGAAATTACAGAGGAGTTTGGGATAGATACTATCCTCTGTTTCTCTAAATCTCTTCTAAAATTTTTAAAAACAGTTCAGCTTATGTTCAACTTTTCATCAACATGCCAACTGGGCATGGTGGCACATTTGTAATCCTGGTAACTCAGGAAGATGAGGCAGGAGGATCTCAATTTCAAGACTAGCTTCAGCAACTTAGCAAGACCCTGTCTGAAAATAAAAAATAAAAAGGGCGGGGGACATAGCTCAGTGGTAGAGCACCCCTGGGTTCAATCCTAAGTCCAAGAAAAAAAAAATCCTCATGGTCCTGTTTGGAGAGTGGCGAGGAGCTGAGCAGGCTGGAGGCAGGGTCAGGAGGCCTGCTGGCCTTGAGCGCCCCATGCTCTCTTCTGAGCTGGGGTCTGGTGCTTTTAAGCTTATGTGGTTTGTTGCCTACACCAGTGTCCTTGGTTATCTTTGCTCCTGTTTCTTCCCTGCATTGTCAGCTCCCAGTTGAGACCACATTTGTTGGTGTTTCTCCCAGGCGTCTTCCTGTGACCCTCATGTGGTAGGCGCCATCCAGTGACTGATGGGAAGAGGCTGTTACTGAGGGGTAGCGGCAGAGGCCAAGAGGGTGAGCAGGGTGCAGAGCACAGGGTGCACTTAAGCCCTCAAACCTCCACCCTCACTTAGACCCGACCCAGACCCGACAAGCCTGACCGCCAGCTGCAGCTGTGCCGGCTCCTCTACACCCCAGTGCCCGTCTCCTTCCCAGATGGCTGCCCTCAGCTCTGTCCCGACCCTCGTCCTGAGACTCCTGCTTCCACATACCTCTGTTCTCCCAGGCCGAGGAAAGCCAGAGCCCACTCAGGGACTGCATCTTCCAGGAGTGCAGAAGACACGAAAGGGGCTGGGTGACATTATTTGGAAGACAGTAGAAGTGCCATGTCTGTCCATAGCTGATCCATAAATAAAATGACAGTTTCGTCTGAAAGCCGTTTTCCAGGCCAACCCTCCTCTGAAGGCCATTGTTGCACGTGCCCCAAGCAGGCTTCTGATTGGCTGCCCTCCCCCGCCACTCGGAGTGGCCCAGGGATCCAGCACAGGCTGGGTTTCAGGTTCTCTTGTCTAGACATGGGGAGCGGGGAAAGGGGACACTGACATCACCCCAAAGCAGTTTCCAAAGCTTTCTTCCTGACCACATGGAGGGTGACTAAAATGAGGCAAGAGCAGATTTTCACAGATGAGCATCTCCTGAGGGAGCAAGCGCCTCATTTTAGACAACGTTTCTGTCCCTCATCTATGGTGGTTCTGCTCTCTGAGCTCCAGTGACCTGTAGTCTACTGCAGCCTGAAAATGTTAATAGAAAATTACAGAAGTAACAAAGTCCCAGTTTTTGCATTGTAGTCTGCATAGCACAAAGGAGCTCATGGTGCCCTATTCTGTCCTGAGATAAGGACCATCACTTTGTGCAGAGTATCCACCCTGTATATGCTATTTCCTCCATGGCAGATGAGACAGACCACACACACACACACAATTTTTATTATAAGGTGTTGTTAATCTCTGTGATAAATACTTAATTTATAAACTTTATCATGGGTATGATGTACAGGAAGACAACAGATGATTTCAGGCATCCACTGGGGTCTTGGGGCACTCACCTCAGATAGGGGGCACCCACTGTTATGATTATGGCTTGCACTAGGAATACAGAATGTCCCAGTTACATATAATTTAATACTTCATTTCAGAGAGGTAAATTTTTTAAATTGAGGAATTACATACTTCTGAAATGCATGCTTCTAGCCAAATTTACCCTAATTTAACCCAGGGGTGCTTTACCACTGGGTTTAATTTTTATTTAGAGACAGGGTCTCACTAAGTTGCTGAGACTGGCCTCAAACTTGTGATCCTCCTGCCTCAGCCTCCCCAGTCTCTGGAATTACAGGTATATGCCAGTGTGCCTGGCTTGAATTTTCTTAATCCAGTGCGACACTGGCAAAATGTTTTAAGAGGGTGGTATATTTTCTAACAGCTTAATCCACATTTGGATTTTCTAGCTGTTCTTACTAATATCACAATAATTAACTTTTAAGGGCACATTTAAAAACTTGAATTAAAAATATAATTGAAAATTAAAACAAACGTTATCAAGTAAATCCAGCCTTACAATTAAATTCACCATGCACTTCAAAATGTTGTGAAACATGGTTGCCTTGAGGAAAAAACGGTTCACTTAATTATATTTGTTGAGAAAAATTTCATTATGGCTTGTTTCTGGAATACTCCTAAATACTCATCATGTGCTAGAAGCATGGTCCTGGATGTAGCAAGGTTCAGAGGTAGATAGGACTTGCAGGCAGTGATGAGGGCACTGATCTCACCAGATCCATGAGCTGAGCAGCTTCCCTCCACCAGGTCCTTCCTCCCCTTGGGCCAGAGCAATGGAGTCGGTCTTCCATGCACTGAGACCTCTCCAAAAGCTTGAGCCAAAACAACCTTTTTCTCCTCTACGTTACTTATTTTTGTTGTTGTTGTTCTTTCATAGTAAGTCTAAGTTGTTTTTGTCAGGTATTTTGGTTGCAGCAATGAAAAGCTAACACGTGGTATAGGTTGAAAACCAGTCTTAGAATCATACCTCCTATAACTAAATAGACCCCTTAGGGAGGGAGCCAGTCTTAGCAAATGCCAGGGCTTTCTATTTCTGTTTTGTTGTACAAACAAATTCTAGTAGAGACTTTGCCTTTAAAGAGGATTCCTGGCTTTCAGATCAATCCTAGGTTAACATCCAACCTTTTACTATCATTTTAACAACTTAAAAATCCTGTTTACTATGAAGAAATAGCAGCATTGATGTGATTTGGATCAACATTTCCTTGAAATGAATGCCAAACCACAAAAAGGATATGTTAAAGGCATATATATATTTTTTGCAGCTAAATCCAAACTTGCTAAGTCTAAAAAAGTACTTTTGAGTCTATGTTCAATTAAGTTTACTATTTTCTGAATTTTCTATATATTTTTTAACACTTAGCATGAAGCAGGCACTGTGCTAAAACACTGTCTCAGTTCATCTTTACAACAATCTTATGAAGTCACTACTACTATTCCTGTTTTACTTTTGTGTGTGTGTGTGTATGTGTGTATGTGGTGCTGGGGATTGAACCCAGGGCCTTGTGTATGCAAGGCAAGCACTCTACCAACTAAGCTATACCCCCAGCCCCCTCCTGTTTTACTTTTGAAAATAACAAATCCACCAGGGGCAATGGTGCATGCCTAATCCTGGCAGCTCAGAAGACTGAGGCAGGAGGGTCTTGAGCTTGAGGCCAACCGCAGCAATTTAGTAAGAACTGCACCAACTTAGTGAGACCCTGTCTCAAACAAAGGTAAAAAAATCTTGAAGATGTAGCTCAGGAGTAAAGTACCCTTGGGTCCAAGCCAGTACCTAAAGAAAATAAAAATGCCAATCTCAGAGACAAATGTTAATGAAATCTCAGTCCTATGTAGTAGAGGTGAGTTGAAACCCATGGCTATCAGACCTGGCATTGGCAAAACTTATTCAATAAAGCCACAGATAAGAACTTGTTAGAAAATTGTGAGAATTCAATTCAACTACACTGAGTTGATCAAGTGATCTGTACCACTGTGGAAGATTGTTTCCTGGAGTTCAGCATCTATAGTCAGAGTAGGACTTCCAGTACATAAATCTTTCCGAGTTTTTAAAAATAAATGTGTATTTAAACATTAGATTATGAGTTCCAAGTGGCAATAAGAGTTTTTGACAGGCTACATTTTAAAGTCATTTAAATTTTAAGATTCAATAATGAGAGAGATTAAGCGTTTGGGGGCAGAAATGACGGTTGAATTGTCAATGTTTTTAATATTTTCCCCCCACAGTGCTGGGGATGGAACCCGGGGCCTCATGTATGCCAGGCAAATTCTCTACCACTCGCCACACCCCAGCCCCAATATTCTTTTTCCCCATCTTTTTTTTTTTGTGTGTGTGTGTGTGTTGCTGGGGATAAACCTAGGGCCTGGTGCATGCCAGGCAAGTGACTGAGCTACACCCTAGTCCTGTGGATGACTTGAGGAGTACCAGGACTGCTCGTGATTGTAGCTAAATGCTACAATTTGACTGGCAAAGGGTGTTTTGGAGATCACAGGAAAGAGCAGGTTTTCATGAAAAGGAAGTAAAATATCAACATATATATTTTTCATTTCTATGCCCCATTTCATGTTTTTCCTAGATGCTTCACCTTGGAAACACACCTATGCCAAATAGCTGAATTTAATGGTATGGTTTATGAAACAAAGGCAATGATCTGACAGCTGAGAACCTCTTCACTTTTGCTTATGTCAAAATCTCTTCTCTTTTCCTCCTCAAAAATAGACTATGGTGAAGGGGTAGATGATAAAATTCAAGATTTTCAACTGCTAGTTGCCAATTTTCAGTCATAGTATATTATCCTAATTTAAAAAGTTCTTTGGCTGGGACACCCAAGTGTCAAGAATGTGTGTTTAGCATGTGCAAGACCCTATTTTCAATCTATCAAGTTATTTTGTCTCGCTTATTCAAATTTTGAAATAACCTGCTTTACTTATTCTTATGACTATAGTTCTAACGAAGGTCAACTTTGTTAGAACTTTTAGGAAAAAACCTCTGTACTCAAAATTGAAGCCAAAGCCGGGCACAGAGGCTCACGCCTGTAATCCCAGTGGCTTGAGAGGCTGAGGCAGGAGGATTGTGAGTTCAAAGCCAGTCTCAGCGAAAGTGAGGTGCTGAGCTACTAAATTAAATACAAAACAGGGCTGGGGGTGTGGTCAGTGGTCCTGAGTTTAATCCCCAGTTATCCCCCCACCCAAAATTGAAACCCACATCAAACAGACTTGCCTAGTTCCAGTGTGGAGTAACCCATGCCCATCTCTCCTCACCTTGGGGAGGAGGGTTATAACACACACAGAAAGCCTCCTTGGGTCCCAGGCACTGTGCTAGGCACTCAGTGCTCCAAGCCACAGACATCCATCACAGAACTGGGTTCAGATTTCAGGCCCTCTGACTCAGCTCTTCCTGCTATGTTACATTAGTTACAGAATATGATATACACATCTAACATTCTTCATGGCCCAGATGCTGTGTTAAAATATCACCTCACTGGATTTGAGGTAAGCCTGGGCAACCTAGCAAGGCTCTGTCTCAAAATAAAATAAAATAAAATATAATATGGGACGGGGATGTAGCTCAGTGGCAAAGTACCCTGGGTTCAATTCCCTGAACCAACAAAACACTCTCCCCGAAAAAACACCAAACAAAACAAAATCTCAACTGATCTTTATAAGAATACTATTTTAAAAATCTGTAGCTGTAGCCAGGTGTGGTGGTACACATCCATAATCCCAGCGACTTGGGAGGCTGAGGCAGGAGGATCACAAGTTTGAGGCCAGCCTAGGCAACTTGGAAAGACCCTCTCTCAAATAAAAAGGGTTGGGAATGTAGCTCAGTGGTAGAGTGCCCCTGGGTTCAATCCCCGGCCACCACCCTCACCACAAAAAAAAAAAAAAAAAAAAAAAAAAAAAAAGAAAGAAAATCCTATAGTTGTTAAAAAATTTCACATAATATGCAAAATAAATAAATAAAACCAGATTCTTCGTGTCAGGTCAAAATGTTCTCAGGCAGTGTGAAGTCATTCTGTGAGCTTACTCCACCACCCATTTCTCATCCTCTTCAGTACGATTTCCTTTCACTTGACCATCCTAAACTAAATAAGCAGAGCACATAGCCTTTCAGTGGTCTTTTAGCTTACTCAATTTGTTTGTTCTTTTATATACATACTTTATTGACTAAAACCTCAGGCTATGGGATGTATGACCAAGTATGGTGTATTATGGAGAGATGGTAGAAAAAGTATTCCTAGTATCCACAGGTAAGTTCCCTAAGTCATGTGTAAAGAGAAGACTGTTATTAAAATTTACTTTATTTTCTATGGAATCAAGCACTAGCTACCAGTTTCAGCAAGATTTCTGTTGTGCCTTCCAAATGTCAGCACAGCTAGCAATGCCTTAAAATAACCAAATAATAAGCTAGGTCCCAGTGGTTATGTCCACATCTAGGTCGGGTGATCAGGAACTCTTTATTTGATTGCTTTAGCTTTTAGTTCTTGGTTATATCTATAAAGAAGAGAAAAAGAAAAATAACCATCAGTAATAATAGATAAATTTATAGTAAGGAGAGAATAGGAAGCATATTCCATTTCTCTTTCCCAGTGGTCAGGTGGCTGTGTAGTTGCCAACAGTCTTCCCAGAAACCAGATAAGAACAGGCAGAAGTGATCCAAGGGCTCATCTGCATTTGATCTGTATCGCAGATAATAAGATCCCAACTGCCAAGAAGTTTCAACATCTTACATGACATATAGTTTCTTGTGCAAAAGTATTATTTCAATGAATATTTCACTCTTGGGCTATACAAGACTATGACAAACGTGAACATATGCATAAAATTTATTAAAATCTGGTCAACTTGAATTTGTCACTCAATAAGCACCTAACAATAAAATCAATTGGGAATGGGTTCTAGTTTAATCACTATAAGTGATTTTTTTTTTTTTAAAACACAGGTTAACAGGTTATGTTTACTGAAGCTAAGGACTGTTTTCTTAATTATCTTAATTAATTTTCTTAATTATTCAGAAAATTGAGCCAGAGTCTCTCCTCCATAACCCTCTGGATTTCACTTACTATCCTTCCCAGCTTACAACAAGTAGAAAATAGTTTAAGCTCAAGAAGAAACTTATCCCATAAGCCTATTGTGCTACACAGACTTCCAAAAGATCCTGATTGCAAACATTTGTTCATATTATCATTATTATTAGTCACTGACAAACAATGTTTACTGGTGAGTAAATGGCTTAAAAAACTTCCAGGGCTTTTGAAATATTTCCCAATGAAACCAGTGACTTTGCCCTAAATGTTATTTTCCAAACTTCATACATTTAAATCCTGCCTTATATATATTACTGAATGTGAACGATCAGAGATTTACATTGGAAATTACTTATAAGCCTCACACTTTAGATGCTGTCTTAATAATAAAAGGGGCTGTATAAAAGGGCTATCCATGTAGACCATGCAGTTAGGTCTAAAAGCTAGGAAACATACTGTGTAACTGCTTTTAATTTATTTGTAAACCATACTTTTTCTGCTTCAGGCACATTCCTGTCCTAGCATTATATGTGAATCCTAAAAAAATTATGTTGCCATCTGGGTAGCTTCTGAAGCAGATACGAAAGTCGGTAGGCTTACCTCCAAATGCGAAAGAGCTGAGAGGCTCCTGCTGCCCCCACGAAGAAATTAACAGCAAACAGACTCCAATTTTTTGGTATAATTACAAGTGAGTATCTTGACCAAATAAACCCTATTGAAACAAAGTATTTGTTTAAAAAGCATACCCCCTGCTGCAATGACTTATCTGAATATTTCACATTAGAGTAAATAGATACAAAAGGACTATGGCAACAATGATGTAGGAGGAAGGAGGAAATACTGATCTAATCTTCAAAAAGGTCTCTGAACCAGTGTTCCCCACGATCCCGAGTTCTTATGCTACAGGGAACCTTTACAGCACAAGAGAATATTAACTCTAATTTTTTTCCTAATTATAAAAAAAATACGTTTGTGATAAAAATGTGAGAAACAAAAACCCATGTTGATACTTATGTCTAGCTACATTTCTCTGTCCCCTCCATGCATAATGCAGTGACTTCCTAGAGATAGATAACACTGTTAAATTCCTTTGCAAGTATTAAGAGTGTGTATATATTTTTAAAACTAAATTGTTAAATAAACGGATGTGAAACAAAAACAAAATAACTTATGTTGTTCATGGAATATGAAAGATATTAATTTAATTACCTGTGGCCATCAAAACAGCAGATTGAGCTGTGCTGAGTTTTTCTGCAGGTCTAGCCATATCAGCCAATCCAGCACACACCAACCCCTGAAAATGCACATACACGTAGAAAGAAAAAAGGCATAATAAGCGTGGCATAATGTTTTTCAATTTTCTGTCAATGTTATTCTGTTTTTAAAAAAATATTTATTTTTGTTTGAAGGTGGACACAATACCTTTGTTTTATTTTTATGTGGTGCTGAGGATCAAGCCCAGGGCCTCACACATGCTAGTGAGCACTCTACCTCTGAGCTACAACCCCAGCCCCGTTATTCTTTTTTAAATGTGGAAGTATCAGAAAAGCTGTTATGATTTTAATTTTTTTGCTAGGTCATTCAATATCAAAGTATATATGGTCATTTCTTCCATTAGGTTTTGAATACTGACTTTGTAAATTATCCTACTCTGTTCCACCATCAGTGTCACTCAGAGAAGTTAACAAGTCCTCACTAGAAGATTAGTTAGCTACTTTCTTGCAGAGATTAGAATACAAAATAAAACAATTTTTATTAATGAAAAATTCAGACCCAGAGTTAAAAATTATTGAGATTTTTATCTCCTCCCCTCCTTCTTTTTCTCATTTTTCTTAAAGTATTTTAAGCAAATTCTAAGTATGTTATTAGAGAATGTTTTTTTAAGAAACTATTTCAGGTTTTTACTGAATTTCTAAAGGATGCTTTTGTATGAAAAATAGAAATCAGCAAAAGGTTCTGCTCCTTAATAGAACACAGAAATACTTATGAGTCCATATATAAATTTAAAACAAGAGCTGAGGATGTGGCTCAGGTGGTAATGCACTCGTTTGGCATGCGCAGGGCACTGGGTTTGATCCTCAGTACCACATAAAAATAAAATAAAGATGTTGTGTCCACCGAAAACTGAAAAATAAATATTAAAAAATTCTCTCTTAAAAAAAAAAACTTAAAACAAGCCCAATTGTTTTGAGTTAATGAATCTAGTAGTTCAAGAAAGCAATGACTCTACTTTAAAACTTATCCCTCCTACACCCTCCTTCCAGGTCCCAATGTGTATTTTCTCTATTCCTTATTTGTTCTACCTCTTCTGCAGGGTGGAAAACTGCCCATCAGGGGAACAAAGGGACCGATTTCAATTATTCTGCAGGATCCATGCATTACACTGTATGCTATGGTTTGGATACGAGGTCCTCCTCTACCCCCAAACTCCAGTGCTACTCCAGAAATATTCAGAGATGAAGGGACTGGATTGAAAGCTGTAGCGCAACCAGTCCATCCCAGTTTGAATGGCCTGACTGGGTGCTAACTGCAGGAAGGCGGGCACGGCTGGAGAAGGCAGTGGTCACTGGGGCCTGCTCCCTGAGGCCCCTTCCTTTCTCTCTCTGCTTCCCAGTGCCATGGCTGAGAGCCCTCCTCCGTGGTACCCTTTTGCTATGATGTTCCACCTCACCTCAGGTCTACAGCAATGGCATTGGTGTGTATGGACTGAGGCCTCTGAAACCATGAGCCAAAATGAAGTCTTCCTCTCCGAGGTGGTTCCTGTCCCGTGTTCTGGGCACAGTGATACTGACTGACTAACACGTGGTGGCTCACTGGGTATGTCCATGAAAACTCTGAGTGGTATTCTGGCATTCTCTTTTGGAAAGAGCCAGCAGTTTATGACTTTTTATGTTCCCAAAACACATTTTATTTTCCTGGGGTATTAGTAATTGTTGTGTCCCACAAAGGTCTTGATTTTCCTTTCCCATGGTTTCTTTCTCTTTCTCTCTCTCTCTCTTTTTTGAGACAGGGTCTCATTATGCTGCTCGGGCTGGGCTCAAGTGATCCTCTTGCCTCAGCCTCCAACCTGGCTGGTACTACAAGTGGTTGACATGGTTACCATGCCTGTCTTCCCATATTTAAAAAAAAAATCCCCGTCCACTTCTATATCATTCTAATCTCATAGAAATTATTTTACAAAATCTCATTGTGAATCTAATCTCCACTTCTTACTAGCTATATGACTCTGATCTGGTTACATTAACCTATCTTAAATTCCTCACAAGTAAAATGAGAGTATTACTGCCTACCCTTGTGAGATTGACATGATGATAGAATTGAAATTATGTGCCTGCATAAAGGAGTGCTCTTCTCTGCATCTTTCCCATGCTCCTTGTCAACTTCATTCTGAACTTCACTCACGTAATAGAACCACAGGTTCAGAAAGTGCTCACTTCAGGATTATGTGAGATATTCCCTGACACACTCAGAAAGCACCAGACTCAGTTTCTGTTTAAAGATGATGGAAGTAAGTGCTCAGAGCAAAGGCTTTGGAGTCAAACAGACCTGGATATTCAATCCTGACTCTGTCACTTACTAAAATTAGCATCTGTGGTCACCTTGTTCTTTGAACCCCAGAAGCCTTACTTGGAAAACAGTGTTTTTGGATGAAGATTGAACAAGAGCTGTGTTCAGCAACCCAGCACAGACATGTGACATCTGGCAGACTCAAGCTAGCTCCCCTACTCTCATCAATTAAAACATGTTCTTCAAATGCCTGAAGCCCACACTTTTTTCCTGGCATCAAGTTATCTTCACTAGGTTTGGATAAATACTTATGAGATGGCTTAGAGTAAAATTGTTTCTTTTAGTATTTTCTTACTTATTAAAAAACATATGCTAGGGTGGGGGATATAGCTCAGTGGTAGAGGGCTTGCCTAGCATGCTGAAAGGCCTGTAATCCCAGTGACTTGGGAGCTGAGGCAGGAGGACAGCAAGTTCAAAGCCAGCCTGGGCAATTTAGCAAGACCTAGGTATGTAGCTTAGTGGTAGAGAGGCCCTGGGTTCAAACCCCAGTACCAAGCAAAACAAAATAAAACTCCAAACCTACAAACTGGAACAAGAGCTCTCTCAAGGACATTAGTTAGTTGGAATACAGCGCTGTATCCTTGTATTCCCTTTTTAAAGCCCTCTGTTTCCCCTGGCAGTTAGAATTATAGCCTGACATGTGTGTCTGTTGCATTTTCTCATTTTCCAGCAAATCAATAAAACTTCTGTTTCCTTTTTCTCAAAACTCTGTCCTTGTTATTGGATCAGCATCAGGGACAAGGACTAAGCTTTCAGTACCACCAATCTACTGTGTTAATAAGAAAAGTTAGTTTGGGGGTTCTACCCAGGTTAATGATTTCCTTGTCATAATTTTTTTTACTCTTTTTGATGAGATAGGTTCTCATTATGTTACCCAGGCTGGCCTCAAACTCCTGGGCTCAAGTGATCCTTCTGTCTTTCTTGCTGAGCTGGAGATGGAACCCAGGCCCTCTCAAATGCTATATCCTTAGCCTGTCCTAAGACTTTAGGATGAATCTGCATGTTCCTAGGGGCCCACAATTATATTTTTTACTTTTTGGCACTGGAGAATGAACCCACAGACATTGTATCACTGAGCACAATCCTCAGCCCTTTCTATTTTTTATTTTGAGACAGAGTCTTACTAAATCACTGAGCCTGGTCTGGAACTTCCGCTCCTCCTGCCTCAGCCTCCCAGTTCCTGGGATTACAGGTAAGCATCATCACTCCTGGCTTGTATATTCTGATAGGAAATATGTTTCCCAAAAGGTCTGTTATCTAAGAACTTCAGAAAGATGTAAGTAGGTGGCATCCTCTGTGTAGTACACCCAAGAATATTTTCCAAAATATTTTCCAAAAAATCAGTTAGAGGTATACCAATAATAAAGTGTATTTTCATAAAATTTACCTCAAATTAATAAAATCATAATGAGGAAAATTTTTTTCAGTAGATGCTGCAAAAACTCAAGACTTACCCATTTCATAATTGGAGCCCAGAAGAAAACTGTTCTAGGGCCTGAATAAAGAAGAAAAATTCAGGAATGAACCAAACATTTTACACATACATGTCTTTTAACAACCATTACCAAATTTCAAAAACCCAAAGATTTACCAATATAATAATTTTTACTATGCTTTCTGTATTACTCTGTATTTAACATTTAGAAAATTACCACAGTGTCACAGTATAAATCTGTCATGAAACTCGTTTGATCTTTGTCAATTACTTATACTTTTGTGATTCACTAACAACAGGCTAAGTTATAATGGAGACAGTTTGGAAACTAATTCCAAAGCTTTGCCTTGAACATGGAACTTAATGTTAATCATTGATAATCTTCCAGTTGGGAAAATGAAATTTATAATAAAGTTTTATAATATGAGATTCAGTAGATACCTGTGTATTCACTGATTTTATCAAATATTTATAACCATAAATGACATCCTTCCATATATATCATAATAAGAGTTTTTGCAAAATTTCTATATATTCACTGGGTGTGGCAGTGCACGCCTGCAATCCCAGCTGCTGGGGAGACTGAGGCCAGCCTCTCAAGTTTGAGACCAGCCTCAGCAACTGAGCAAGACCTGCAAAATAAAAAATCAAGAGTCGGGGATGTAGCTCATTGGGTCGAGAGCCCCAGGGTTTGATCCCTAGTGCAAGACAAAAACAAAAACAAAACTACATATTCCACCATCCATGAACCTAATTTTTCTTCTTCACAGTGCTGGGGACTGAACTTAGGGCCTCGCACATGCTAGGTCAGCACTCTACCACTATATCCCCGGCCCAGTGAACCTAGCTTTAAAGTCCTCATGAGAAAGAGGAGAGACCAGAGACCACCTGTAAACTCATCAATAGCAGGGTCCATGTTTTTTTTAGTCACCATGTACCCACCTGCTTTGTGCAAAATGTTAAATAAATGCCTGAAGTATTGAAAATATTCTGGTTTCTAAGATAACTTAGTATTTGATGAGCATGATGTTTCAGAGCTAGAAGGAAACTCAGGTCACTTCATCAGCAGACTGCAACTGGCCCCTGTTGTGCAACTCTTAACTACTGCTCTTTACGTAACTCCTCCACATCACACACTGCTGCTCACCTTCAGGGGACACAGTGAGAGGACAGAAAGAGACTTTGTCCAGGGGAACTTAAAACACAACTAAACATAGCAAGTCCACTGAATACCAGGGCTGTGAAAATGTTGTGTATGCTCTTACACACTGGATCAACAGAAGACATTTATGTCTTTGTACAAATTAAGGAATTTTATGTAAGAGAACAGTGATTTATAAACAGTTTAATAATATCTTGTTATATTCACAAGTTATTACTGCTGCCTTAATACTCTACTTTGCAAAAAAAATTTGCCTTTATGTGTCACAAAAATCACATCTAAAATGGTGCCATCATCCAAGTAGAACACCTTTTACTTTTTAATCTACTCCCAATTAACACTTCTCAAAAGCACTAGCAGGTGAGGATGCATTTGTTCTTTCCCCAAAATTAGTACTGACTCTCATTCATAACATGATGTTCTGTTCACACATGCTGAGATCACACTTAGATAAAACTGATTTAAACCCATTATTTGGAAACAAAGCAAACAATAAAAGATAATGAAGTAAAAAAGCACCGAGCTGGGTAAAGAGCTGGGTTTAGTTCTGGGTCTACTTTGTTGCAGACAGGGCCACCCTTCGTTCATTCACCCACAGTATTCACTGTGTGACTTAGAGTGCCAGGCACTGGGGAGATGTTAGTAAATAAAAGATAGTGGTGGCTCTTAATAACCTAAGCACAGAAAGGCTATTGAAGTAAAATCATGTCTGGGAGCCAGATAAACACATTTCAGTGAAACTAAATTCGCAAGTGTTTCATCAAAGCCAAACTAGTTCACATCTTGGCAACAGCAAGGACCCAAATGAAAATGAGCCCAGTGACAACACCTGTTTTGGGTGCATTTTGACTGAATCAATGTTAATTTTAACATTAAGCAGAAACATTTGACAAATGTAAAACTGGGCAGTCTGCTTTCTTTGCAAAATTTATTTATTGAGAAGTTCTAGAAACACATCCCAGGTAGTATTCCCAGCAGCCAAACTGGGGAACCTGCCTGGATCCTGGCTATCTGCCTGCCCACAACTAGAAATAAGCCAACTATGGAAAAAGGAAAAATGAACTTAATGTTATTAACTGCTTCCCAGTTTAATCAAATTGAAGAATTTGATTAAACTGGGAAGCAGCCGGATCGTTTCTCCCTTGGTCCTAGGGAAGGAGTGACAATAGAAAAAAAACAGTCAGGAGATGTATATATATGTAGATGGAGCAAGGCTCTTTGGGCCAGAGAAGAAGGGAGTTTTCCAGCCTTCCAGCTGGAATAGTCTTTTAGTTTCCATTCTCAGCCTGAGGGAGTTTGGGACCTAGAACAATTTGGAGCTTTCCATTTCCAAAGGGGCTGTTTCAACAGTCTGAACTATAACTAGCCTCTAGCAATAAATATTAGCATGTTACACATTTTGTCTGTTCTTCCAAATTTAATATGGTTCTTGCTATTTTTTACTCTCAAATGAATTAACATCTTACAGTTAAATTCATTAACTCAATGTGATTTTTAAAAAATATTTGTTCTTAAGCTTTAGGTGAACACAATATCTTTATTTTACATTTATGTGGTGCTGAGGATCGAACCTGGTGCCTTGTGCATACTAGATGAGGGCTCTATCACTGAGCCACAACCCCACCCCTCAATGCTATTTTAATATAATAGGTTTATAGTGTACCTTACCTGTCAGTTGTGTATCTACTTACCTATCAAATTTATGGCTTCTCAAAACTTTTGGCCTCACTTTCACATTTGTATGAATATTAATGTTAAATAATTAGGAAAGTTAGCCAGCAGAGTTGAAAGTAGGTTATATTAACTGGAGTTTATTACTCTAGTATATACATGTATATATTATACAAATACACAGGTGTATGCATGTATACATATACAAGTAACCCCCTGTCCCCCAACAAGGATGGAATCCATACAAACGGATGCTCTACCTCTAAGCTAAGTTTCCAGTCCTTACAAACAACTTTTAAAACACACTTCTCTGTGAGCTCCACACCCATGAATTCACAAACAGCAGACTGAAAATTAAAAACAAAAAACTGCACCTGTATTGAATACTTGAGACTTTTTATTTTTGTTTTAGTTGCCTAAAACAGCACAGTATAACTACTAGTTAAATTGTGTAGGTCACTGTAAGTAATCTAGGGATGATTGAAAAAATACACAGGAGGACTGTATAGGTTATATGCAAATATCCTGCTATTTTATCTAAGGGATTTGAGCATTCTTGGATTTTGATGTGTAATGAAGTCTTGGAAGTAATCCTCTGTGTCTACCGAGGGGTGATTATAGATATGTAAAGGCTGGCATACATTTTTAAGTTGCTTATTTTCTAATTTAATTCTAAAGTCCTTCTACTGAAATCTAAATTTCCTTTTCTTCTCTTATTCTGCAAAGGAATTGTATACTATGTTTAGAATGATTTTTTGAACACTAGAAGATCATAGCACAGACTGTCTTCCCTATGGGCACAAACAACTAGAATCCTAAACATTGTTTTCTCAGAGATATCTGGAATGTGATCATTTTCATGTTATCCTGCCCACCTTCAGATTTTCCATATCTTAAGTTGTGGGATGAATCTGGAGACAGAGTTGGAAATATCAAGGAGTTCTAAAGCTGGATGATCTTACAAATGAGTGGGGGGAAAAATCTATCTCCAACTTCAGGTTTACTGTACTTATCCTCTCTCCAGTTCCCTAGGTTCTGTCACCACCATATCTAGAACTCTGGTCACATCACTTTCTATCTTCAACAAAATATGGAAAAAAATTCCTTTCCTTTTTAGTTATTAGACTGGAATTTCAAAAGAAACTTTTACCAATGAAAAAGGAATTTAAAAGAACATACAAAGGCACCAGCTTCCAGAATGTACATTTCTAATTCTAATCTAACTGGATTTCATACCAGGTCAGAGCGTCTGGGCAGGGTGATTTTGTTCCCAGAGGACATTCTGCCCTCCTGAATAGATTCCACCACCGAGGCGGGGGAGGTGCTGCTGCTGCAGTCGTCCAGGGGTTAGAGGCCTGGAATACTGCTACACATCCTACAACGCAGGGGACACCGCCACAGCAAAGGCTCATCCAGGTCAAACTGTCTATGGTGCAAGGTTAAGAAACTCTGGCTTCCAGAGACTAATAAGTTAGGCCAACACTCAACTAGTTTCATTTTTTTGGTACTAGAGATTTAACCCAGGGCGCTTTAAAACTGAGCTGTATCCCCAGTCCTTTTTGCTTTTTTTTTTTCCTCTTAATTTTGAGTCAGGGTTTCACTAAATCGCTGAGGCTGGCTTTGAACTTCTGATTCTCCTGCCTCAGCCTCCTCCTCTCAGCTTCTGGAGTCACTGGGATTACAGGTGTGGGCAGCCTCCAGGCTTTTAGTTTCACACTGTTTGAGATTGTACTTCAGCCTACACTGTCCCCTCCCAATATTCGGCCCTGTTTTCACCTAACTCCATCTTTCAAACACTGTCTGAGCTTTCTCTCACAGAAGACCTCCTCCGGTGAAATGCTCCTTCTCTCAACTACTAAAGTAGCCTGTACATTTTTCTGTTTTTTTCTATACTCATCAAATCATTATGCCATCTGTTACTTAACCGACAATAACTTCCTTAAAAACAAGGACTGCCGTCTAATCTTCGTAGACAAACAGTCATGTATTTGTCAACAGAATTGCATTGGATTAACCATGTTCAGGATGGAGGTGGATCCAAGATAGTTCATCTTCAGGTGTGACCCAGATTGCCTTCACACCACCTGGTACTCAAGGCTAGGTCTGCTCTCTCAGACCACAGGGCACTCTTCTCCTAGCCATAATGTGCTGATCCTATAATTGAACTCCTTCAAGTCTCCATCTAGGCCATGCTTCTGGAATTGCTGTCATGACAGCTGAGTCATTT